TTATCGGACCTTTAAAAGTCGTAAACAAGCAAGATCTTGCGTATACGTTAAACCTTCCGCGAAGGATACGCACCCATCTGGTGTCTACCTGGTATTTTATACAGGCTTCCTTAAGTCGTATTGTAATCCGTCGCAAGTATACGTGGATGCAGTGGCACCGAGGCGGCGCCCACAGGCGCACGACCACACAGAAACTAGACCAGCAACTGGTTTTGAGCTCGAAGTGCAACAATTTCCTTTTTCAACGGCGCTCTACCGTGCACATAGTGATGTATTCATCTGCTGGACGGCTAGGAGCCGCTCTGACAGAGCGCGATAATCCTCATCGTGAGACTATCGGTGCAGAAAGTGCTCTAAGCTCTCTAGTCCCTCTGCACAGCGGTATGCGACATCCGCATGATGCTCAGCAGAGTCCTGGTCGTGACGGACCTCGTCCTCAACAGCTCAAAGCACAACGCGAGTCAACGGACGGCGATCGACATAATTGTCATCGTCTGCCGCCGACTCTTCTGGACGAGAACGGTTGTATTCGCTACCACGTGGAATGTCTTTATGGGTCGACAGAGTCAAACACAATATCTTGTGAAGTGGCGGGGATACCCTGACTGTGAGAGCTCGCGAGAGTTTGAGGAACCACTTCGGCAAAACCGCCTAGACGTCGTGGACGATTATGATCAGAGAGATCATGGCGCTCCGCGTTGTCCTATGCTCTTTGCTTCTCGGCAATATTTAGGGAAGACGAAGGGGCCCGGGCTGAGCTCAAGCTATATCCCTGAGCTGCTGTGGTCGCAGACACACCCGTGTGAGAAACCACATAGCTTGCGGGAGCGTGATGAATTAATTCATACGTCGCAGGGTCACAATACGAAGGAAGTCAGCAATGCGCCTTGAATTTGGCAAACTCGAATCGAAGATGGCATACCACGAATACGTCCACCACCTTTTGTCTCCGCCGTAAGTTGGATAGCGAGGAAAGTTTTCGGTGCCGCTGCACCCATCGCATAGAGAGCTCTTCGTTATCTGCAGCTCGTTTGCATCGCGGGTATATGAGCACAATAACTTTGAGCGCGAAGTCGAAGCGCTCTACCTATCTATGGGGATTTCTTGAGGTACTAAAAAAACGCGCTCGGAGAACTTTGCGTTGGTCAAGCTCAGCTTATGTAGTGGTCGGGGGTCCGACCACGAATACGACCAACGAAGAGTGATCGCGTCCTTCACTTCTGTAATATGATCCGCTAAACGGAAGTCGCATTCCACATGAGAGTTGATGACCGAACGTGAATACGAGCGCATGAGAGCCACCCTATGGGCAGCCTCAAACTGCTGCTTCTGTGCCTCGTTGAGGTGATTAGGAATGACACCACTTCCTCCAAATCCTCGACGAGTCTGTCATCAAAAACGAGCGCCCCATTGTGGTCATCAACATCCACGGTGTCGGGTGTTCGGCTGCCGAGGGCATAAAATGCGCTCCAAAGTTGCACCGCGTATACGTGACGAAGAAGGGCTTTGCCAGCAGTTGGCCGAAACCAGTGAGGCTAGGTGTCTTTCGTGTTTTAGACACAGAGCTTATTGAGCAGAGAATGCGTGCAGAAGTTCCTGTTGATGTAGAGGTACCTTAGACACGCGAGCCTCGTACGAGGAGACAGTTAAATGTGAATTGTGGGTGTTTATAATTTTGATAGGGGAGAGTGTAATGGGGTTACACTTACCCTGATATGAGGGGGTGGGTCACACAAGATGGTGTGACCATACAAGGGTGTGGATTACACAAGACTGTGTAATCACACAATGGTGTGGCTCCACCTTAACAAGAAGTCAGTTCGTGGCTGGACTGCCAGTAGGTTTGCATTTTAATTAGGTTCTATTACTTGATTACAAATACTTATAGATTTAGATATAGACAGAATTGCCGCGAATAGAACCAAGATATACAGTTTACATTTTGAGCAATAGAGTCTTTTCGCCTCAAGTTAAGGCTGTGGTTAATCTTGAAATAAGTGAGATTGCGAACCGCGACACTTGAACTAGTTCTGAGTAAAGAATGAAGGTCACCGATAAGTGAAAGAGCTACGGCAGCTCCGCTGCAGCTTTCCTTCCGTAGATGTCTGGCAGCAGCACTAATGAATCGGGGAGATAATACGATTGAGTGAAGGAAAAAAGAGCTGATCACCGCCCACGATGCAAGAAATTCTACATCTCCTTGCAGCAAGAAGTGGAGAACTCAGCGGGGCTGCCGTAGCTTAGCGCTCGAGGAAGCGTAATTAAGGTCATCGACCTTTCGTTCTTCACAAGAAACAATACGAGTGTCGCGGATCGCAATCCGCTATCTCCAAGAGTAGCTAGTACCTTAACCAAGGCTAGTAAACTCTTCGGTTTAAATTCAAAAATGATTTTTATTTATTTTTATCTGCGGATAAGCCGCCTACTTTCAAATGTATAAATTTTACTAGATATATCTAGTAAAATCTAAATACATGCATAACTACTGGATACCTAGCCACATACCGTATTCTTGTTTGGGTGCAGCCACACCATGCACATTCCGTGTGATACCC